TCTCGTTTCCTTCTCCATGTTACAAACAAACGCACAAAGACATAATACCCTTACCACTATGTGGTGTAGGGTATAAAAAATGAGATGTAAGAGTTCTATCAAATATCTTCAAATAGCACACATCGCAATACTTTTATTAACCCAAAGTCTGGTGTGAAAACGGAATATATCGGTCCACTCCTTTTTGTATCTCCCCCACAAAAGGTCAAAATTTTGAATATCCATGAAGCTCACAAAAGGCGAAATTAACATCAGATTCCATTTATACTTGATAGATCTCAATACTTCTATCAACAAAATATCAGTTATAAAGATTGTCTATTCCTTCTGGTACTTCTCCCACATAATTTGGGATAACCAAAACGATTATAAAATCCGAAATAAGTATCCGGTTTTCTTCATATCTATCTCACACGTCCCATTATTTTTTCTAACACAAGATCTGCTCTGTAGATGGGATATATTGGTCCTCTCCTTCTGGTACCTCTTTCACAAAGAGTTAAAATTTCGAATATCCATGAAGCTCATAAAACGCGAAATTAGCATCCAATTCCCTTTAGACTTGACAAATCTCAATATTTCTATTAACACAAGATCTGTTATAGACATCGAAACAAAAACCAACATTTTTGTCTGCATTATATGAATTATGAACATGGAATACTTCGGTCGAATATATCTGGTCCACCAAGCACATTTTGACATTTTCTAAAAATTATCACTTATCTTATATGAAGTAAAGGAAGTAACCAAGTATTATATTTAATTAAGTCCGAAACGGAATGGGAAATATTGGCCCATTTTTTTTAGGGTCAACAATTTAAATAATCATAAAAAAGTTAAAATAGTAAACTGCCGAATTTTGTTTTCTTCGATGAGAAAACATTCGTTGTCCAGCAGTTTGTAAAAAAACAAAATGATCGTGTTTTCTTGCCAAAGAGGTCAGCTGAAAATGTGCACCTTCGGTTGGCCACCAGAACTCAAGCGCCGGCCATGGTGACAGTGTGAGCCGCCATTACAGCCGATGGTCGCTCTCCACTCGTATTAATCGACCGTGGCATCAGAATAAATGTATTATGTAATATTCTGGAGGGTGTATTAAATCCCACAATGTGGTCAGGGTATTATGTCTTTGTGTATTTGTTTGTTCCTTTTGATGACCTGCATAGAATCACATTCTGAATCGATTTTTGCATGTCCGTCCGTCCGTCTGTCCATATATTTTTGTAAACAAAATACAGTTCGCATTTATTGCCCTATCCAGTTGAAATTTTGCACAAATCATTTGTTTGGCCCAAGGACGAACCCTATTCAAATTGGAGATAATCGGTAAAAATTTAGGTATACCTCCCTTCATCCGATTTGCCTTTTATTGTGCACCAAACGTGTAATATCAGTCCGAATAGTATGGAATTTTGCACGCACGATCAGATTGGACTTGAAAATAAGTATGCCAAATTTGATCGGTTCAGATATAGCTATAGCTCCCATATATATTGTTTATCTGATTTGTTATTTTTGTCCTCCGCAGCCGTAATATGCACTCTGTAACAACAATATTTGGGGAAATATATCAAATACAGCTCAGAAATACATTTGCTAAATTTTATTGAGATCGGTTCAGATTTGGATATAGCTCCCATATATATTTTTATGCTTCGTCATATTTAGTCCTTTGAACATTAAATTATAATTATAATCATAGCGTGATTGAATTCTCCCATAAAAACTTTTAATTGTTATGCGCAGCTCTACTAAATTAGCAAAGTGGTGTAGGATATCATAAAGTCGGCCCCGCCCAACAATAAGACTTTCTTTACTAGTTTTTAATATAATGGTTTCCATATTATTACAGCATTTTGTCTATGTTTTAGAGCAGCATATATATCTTTCCATATTCCAGAAAGGTGTTTTCATAGCCTTTGTTTACATTTTTCACACTTGTTTGTTTTCCTATGTTATTTTCCACTTGTTTTAAACACTTAAATTTCAAAATTATTGACATGAACAAAAAATATGTTTAGTGGTGGCCATTAGGGACATTATTTCTTCTATTTTTAACATTGACACATTGTAGTCCATCATTTTAGTTTCTTAATGGAATGTAGTACTCAATCAATTTTCAAAAAGACGACAAAGAAGAACAAGAAATGACACACAAGTGTCTATGTATTAGCAATAATTGGTGAAGAAGTTCTTCACTTTAAGTTATCGATTAGAATATCCACCAAATTGAGCAAATTATGGTGTAGAAAACAAAAAGTTTTCTTTATAGCATTTCTTGCAGGGGGAAGATTAAGAGAAGAAGAAAATAAACTGTTCCTTCCATTCGGACAGTATACTTTCTAGGTACTAAAATAATTATTTCCAGGTGTGAATAACACAGCAGAAAGTTCCGAATGACCTTAACTAAGAGAAAAAACTTGTTTATAAGATTAGTTAAATCCTTAGCTGCGAATAGATTGAAAGTGACGATGGAAACCTTGAAGTTTGTCTTGAGGCATTTTCGGACAATGGGTGAATTTGTCATATCACAATAAAGAACTTAAATGTATTATGTATTATTTTAATATGAGTAAAATTAAAATCGGATAGAAGTAAACTATATCCGAATTTAAATTGGTTTGCACCAAATTTGGCAAAGATTTTACTGTAGGTGACATCACGTAAAATCGACTGAAACATATATGCAGGGTGAGATAAAAAAAACTGCAACTCTTTGTCTTTGTTGTTTTTTAATAATATTTATTTTTTATAATATATATTTATTATTATTATAATAAATAAATATTTATTTTTAATAATATTTATTTATAATTATTATAATAACTAAATATTATTAAAAAAAAAGACCTCGAGCTCAATTTTTAGTTAACTTACAGTTAAAATAATTTTTAATGTCAGAAATAGTATCAAATTTTAGAATAAGTTTAGATTTGTTCAAACTGGTCACGTTTGGCACGAATAATGGCCTTCAAAAGGCCAATGAAACCGTCACACGCTGCCCGAATGTTGCTCTGCGGTATTCTGGCACATTCCCGGCGAAGCGCTTGCTTGAGGTGATCGACACCTTGGTATTTTTAGTGCCAACCTTGCTTTCAAAATACTCCAAACACAAAAGTCCAACGGATTGGTGCCCAGAGATTTTGGTGGTAGTTGTGCGCTGGAAATGAAGCGAGGAACCTCATTTTGTAACCATTATTGGGAGGAGCTTGCTGAATGTCCAAGGTCTGCGGTAAAAATGTTTGCGTGCCCAAGGCTTTAATACACCCTCGAGAATATTTTCGCCATAATATTCGGCATTTCTTATGAAGACACGGTCGATGATACGAGCGGAGAGCGACCATCGGCTGTTATGGTGACCCACATCATCACCATGGTCGGCGTTTGAGTTCTGATGGCCAACCGAAGGTGCACATTTTCAGCTGACCTCTTTGACAAGAAAACATCATTTTGTTTGTTTACAAACTGCTAGACAACGAATGTTTTCTCATCGGAGAAAACCAAATTCAGCAGTTAACCCCTTTCGGCCAAGCGAAGCAACTCTTTAGCTCTTTTGAGTCTATTTTCTATCTGTTACGGTGAAAGTTCTTGCACTTTTTGGAATTTCAATGATTTTACCCCCAGCTCATTTTTCAATATTTGCCGAATAGAATATTGAGATATGTTCAGGTCACGAGCCATTTTTCAGCCGCTGCGACGCGGGTTTCGACCAAGTCGCTTCTTTACTTTTCGAACCATTTCTGCTGATGTTGCTGTTTTCTTCCGTCCACTTTCTTGACGTCGGACTACGTTACCAGTATCACGGTAACGAGCTATGGTACGAGACACAAAAGATTTATTAACATTTAAATGCTGGAGTGCTCTAACGATAGCCACCTGTGGTTTTCCCGCCAAATATAAAGAAATCGCACTATCACGCTTGAGTTCCATTACGAATAACTTTTTTCTGGAAAATTCTCACCAAAATGCTTTTGTTCGCTTGTAAACAATATAATGAGCTGTCACTGGAATAATTTTAACAGCTGTGGGAGTGGCTTAGAAATTACAGCAGTTTAAAGTTGGTTTGCGGTTTTTCATCTCACCCTGTATATCTCATAACATGCGAAACAAGTCATGGTTTTATTCAAACTGGGCATACCTTAATATTTCTCTCAACCAGACATCTAATGAGAACATTTGAAACAATTACGGTGAATAATGTCTATAAAATCTTAGAATACGTCATAGACTGTAATACCGATTCCGAACTTTAAATGCGAAAATTGAAACATTAAAATACCAAATATAGGGAGTTACGAAGACGTAGACCTGCATTCGCAATTTTTCCCCATTGGTTGTAGCACGCATTAGGATCTAGCAATACAAAATTTGAAACAATTCTGGACAACAATATAGCTAAAATCATCAAAATGGCGAATAAAGGAAGGTACCGTTATATGTGGGCGACATGACCGATATTCGAACATAACCTGCCTAGTGACACCTGGGTCTGACATGAGTATTTCGAGCAGTTACAAACGGAATGACGAAGTTATTAAACCCTCCATATTATGGTGCAGGATATAATAAAATGGAACCTGCGTCGAACCCCATAAAATTGTTTTACTTCGACAAATTTGCAAACGAATGGAAAAACAATTTGTTACAAAAACTAAATGTTTTTTTTTTACATCTTAAAACGGATGAAGCGGATTTCTATAGTGAGATTGTTTAATTTTACTAACATTCGCAAGTTAAAATTGTACCAAAAAAAAAAAAAAACATTTATTTCAAGTGAGGCGAAATAATTTATTCACTGTGGCAAACAAGTTTGGTAATATTTTTATAACTTCTACAAGATACCAGGTCGGCCATAGTCACCAAACATTTCTATTTTTTTTATTTGTCTTCTTAGATGTTCTGTCAACATAGATTATCTGTAACTTCTGTTATAAGACTATAAACTTCAATATAATCTTACTTCATATATTTATTTTCTTTTTTTCTTTTACATTCAGTCAAGTGGCAATGAAGATCCCAATGAAGTTCATTTGGACTCGGAAATGGAAAAAGTTTTCGCTGGTCCATCTGCCCTTAAAGAAAAATTTGATGTAACCACATTTCAGGATTCCGTTCATCCAATACCCGGTAGCTTTAAAAATATTAATAGTGGTAAGTGATCTTCATAATCTATATCTATAAAAGAGGAAAATGTTTGTATGTTTGTTTGTTTGTTTGTTTTTTTGTTTGTTTGTTTGTTTGTAATTTATGGACTCGAAAACCGCTGAATAGATTTTCCTGAAAATTTCCATATATACTGCAACATCGCCTGAAAGTAACATAGGCTATATACATTTTCGAATTTCCACTTGGAACTGGAGATATAGCATCAGAATCGGAGGTACCTCCCAAAAATTTAGATTTTATATGCACATATCTACTGATTGGTTGAAGATACAGTCTCCAAATTTGGAATACGTAACGGAATTTGGAACAAAAATAAGTTTGCCAAATTTTATTGTAATCGGTTCAGATTTGGATATAGCTCCCATATATATTTTCGACCGATTTCGTTCATTTGATTCCTCAAACACAATATGAATGTTCGATTCCAATCAAATTTGGAATGTGTGACGGGATTTAATCCGAAAATAAATTTGTCAAATTATATTGAAATCGGTTCAGATTTGGATATAGCTCCCAGATATATTTTCGGCCGATTTCAAGCATTTGATGCACCAAACAAGCTATATATCCCCAATTTCAATGAAATTTGAAACGTGTGATAGATTTTATCTAAAAAATTGATTTCCCAAATTATATTGAAATCGGTTCAGATTTGGATATAGCTCCCATATATATTTTCGACCGATTTCATGTATTTGATGCACCAAACACGCTATGTATCTCTAATTTCAATGAAATTTGGAATGTGTAGCGGAAATTAAAACAAATATACATTTGTCAAATTATATTAAAATCGGTTCAGATTTGGATATAGCTCTCATATATATTTTCGGCCGATTTCATGTATTTTATGCACCAAACACGATATGTATGTTCGATTCCAAAGAGATTTGGAATATATAACGGGATTTTGATTAGAAAATAAATTAGTCAAATTATATTAAAATCGGTTCAGATTTGGATATAGCTCCCATATATATTTTCCCCGATTTCACATATTTGATGCACAAAACACGATACGTATTTCCGATTCCAATGAAATTCGGCATGAGTGGCTAAATTTGGTACAAAAATAAATTTGACAAATTATATTCAAATACGCTCAGATTTGATTATAGCTCCCATATATATATACTCAGCCGATTTCACATATTTGATGCACCCAAAGCGAGAGAGACAAAATCTGGCACCAGAAAAAAATGCCAAATTATATTGATCAGTTGCGGTTTGATCCATATATATTTCGGCCGATTTCATACATGTTATGCACCAAACATGATATAAATGACCGAACCAATGAAATTCAGAATGTGTGGCGGAGTTTGGTTACAATAATAAATGTGACAAATTAATTGGAAATTAGTTAAGATTTGGATATAGCTTCCATATATATATTATCGGCCGATTTCACATATTTGACGCACCAATTTCAATGAAATATGAAAGGTGTGGCGGAGTTTGGTGTAAAAGTAATTTTTTTAAAATTATATTTAAATCGGATCAGATTGGGATATGATTTTAATAAGAACCATTGACCCACAACGCCTTAGGCTAACACTAAAAAACAACACAACAATTGATTTGAAATACGCTTATTACGGCGAGGTATGTTGCTATTTCGAATTCACTAATTGCAATAGAAATGCCACTCAAATTCAAAAGATTGCAGTCTACTGCACGCTTGGTATTTGCTATGAAATAAATAAATCCGAAGGACAAACCCTTCGTGTATGTATGTCATTTACTGCTTTTCTAATGGTTTTGGTTATTTAAGCATTAAAATGGTGCAATGTTTTTTTTTTGTTAATTTTTAATTTGTTTTTTTTTTTTAACCAACATATATTCGTAAATAAAATTGTGAATGCATATAAAATCAAAAGGGGTAGCGAAGCGCACCGGGTTCAGCTAGTTGGTATTTATAAATATTTACATCCATACAAAGTGATATCTTAAGGTATACAACACAGGATCTGGAGAAGAAATTACCCATTACTTAACAATCTACTGGCAATACAAACAAAACTTTCTTTAATTATTTTCACTTGAAATATCTAAATTTTTATACCCTACAACACTATGTGTTGGGGGTATTATAAGTTTGATTGGGCCAAAAATTATGTAACACCTCGAAATATTGATTTCCCACATAGGAAAGTATATATGGATCTTCCTAGCTCGCCGAGTTGAGTCGATCTAGCTATGTATGTCCGTCCGTCCGTCTGTCCGTCTGTCCGTCTGTCCATGTTAATTTGTAATCACTCTACAGGTCGCAATTATGGCCCGATCTCCACGAAATTTAGAATGGAGGTGGGGCTAGGGTCAGAATAGAACCCTATTTCTTTTGGAGATGATCGCATAATATTTAGGGGTCGAAATGGACCAAATACTTAAAAAATGTCGGATTTTGCAGTAGCTTTACAGGTCGCAGTTATAGACCAATTGACGCGGAACTTCGCATGTGGCTAGAGTTTAGGGCGGGGAAGAAGCCTACCAATTTGGGTGGTCATCGGATAATATTTAGCGGGTAAAATAGACCATATCTTTTGTGTTGAAAAAATTCAAAATTTTTCATTAAACCGCGAATATTTTAAATCCCGGCGAAATCACAAAGCCATGACAAGGTTACTTCTGATCTTTACATTGATGTTAACATCCATCAAATCTGATATATAGCAAAATATGTGCGATATATATGTCTATCAAAGAAGATATGCTTGAAAGATCTCTTATATGTCGAGAACGGTTGAACTGATTTCGACAGTTCTCATTAATTCAGAATGGCCTCTTGGCAGGAAAGATAAAACGTCTAAAAAATCGCATAAAAATATCTCTCTAAAGAGGAAAACATTGATTTTGTAAAATTTTCTCATATTTTTTCAATTTTGTCATATTTTTGGCATATTTTCATTTTGAATTAAACATTTGGTAATATTTCTACAGCTAACAAAACTAAGTAGTTAGGATATCAGGATATCATATACAGATCGCATTTATGGCCCGATTCTTACGAAATTTTGCATGGGGATAAGATGAGGGTCAGAAAAGAAGCCTACTCTTTTTGGAGATGATCGCCATATATTTAGGGGTTGAAATGGACCAAAAACTGCAAAATTGTCAGCAGGTCGTAATTATCGCCCGGTCCTCACGCATATTTGAGTGGGGGTTACCGGACATTGCAAAAGCCAAGCAGTTTTGGATGGCCATCCAAAAATATTCAATGTGTGAAGGAGTTTGCCAACTTTTGTAGACAAAATACGAAAATGTCCATTCCAGTGACTTTTTGGGGAATTCACAAATATAGGAAAGACGCACTTCTGACTATGTCGTTAACGCTGATTTCGTTGAAGAATATAGTCATATGTCTGTATCCCATATAGATGCGTTTCAGTCAAAAACCAATAATAAAAGTTAATCTTTTGCCACTTTTGAGAGATTATAGGTGTTTGGGAAATATTGGTTCCAGATCTAGGAAGACCATTTACGTGCAACATCTTCCAATAAATTGGAAATGAGCAAATTAGTTAAAGATGCTATTATTCGAAAATTAGAGAACGCAACCTGATGGTTTTCTTTTATTATTTTTCACAATATCTTGTGGAATTCTTTCGAGTATCTCGTCTATATAAACTGTATCGTTTATTATAGTGTTGTAGGGTATTCAACGGTCGGCCCCGCTCGACTGTAGCCTTTGCTTACTTGTTGAATTTAGTTTTCTTCAAAACTGGAAAGAATGTTTATTCTGAGATTTTTAATGAAATATTGTGTAGAAGATTTCTTGTTTTGACACTTTTGGTCTAAAACGGAATTTTATGTTACTTTTATGTATCAAAATGAAAAATTTTCGTTAAAAACTAGGAACTATTTTCGCGTTTTTGGTAAATTTGAAACCAATATTTTCTTAACTTAGAATATAAATGTATTTTTTATGTGATTTATACAGAAAGGTTGTAGAAAAATATTTTTGTCTCTGACGTAAACATTCCGAAATGATGATTTGTGAGATAATTTATTCAGAGACCTAGAGCAGATTTTATGCCTCAAAACAAACAGAGTTCTTAACCATATTTTGAACAAAAGTGCCAAAAAGACCCATCTGGCAACTCGGCGGACGGTTAAAATGCTAGTATTTTCTATCTGTATTATTGCCGAAGACATTGTATACTGAATGAATTTCAAGAAAAAATGTGGGGATGAGGTTCCTTTCCCTTTTATTTAGTTAAGTGTGAAAAGCAATTTGTATTTGTAGCTCTACTTTCAACTGGTTTCACGAATTCAGCCCACAAGAAAGTACTTTAAATTTGGTGAAAATTGGTTCAGACATGACCACCTCGCGTTTCATCCGATTTGGTGTCTTAGACCCCCACCGCTATAATATGAAGTCAATTGCAACGTTATTCGGGGAAAGATATCAAATATAGCTCAGAAAGATGTTTTCCAAATTTTATCGAGATCGCTTCAGATTTGGATATAGCTCCCATATATATCTTTACCGATTTCAAGTTTAATCTGCACCAAATGGTTTATATCTGCCTAAATTAAATAGGTTTTGGCTCGTGCGGCTAGTACGTCTCGTAAGCAAAATCGGTTAAGATATAACTATAAGTCCCATATACAGGGTGAGATAAAAAAACTGCAACAAAGTCAAACGCCATAATTTTTACATTTTTTAAATGTTATTGAATGAAAGCAAAAAATGTCGGAAGTAGCATCAAATTTAAGAATAAGTTTAGATTTGTTCGAATTGGTCACCTTTGGCATGAATTATGGCATTCAAACGGCCAATAAACCCGTCACCGGCTGCCCGAATGCTGTTCTGCGGTATTTTGGCCCATTCCCGGCGAAGCGGTTGCTTGAGGTGATCGACATTTTTATATTTTTTAGTGCCAACCATGCTTTCCAAAATACTCTAGATACAAAAGTCCAACGGATTGGTATCCGGAGATTTTGGTGGCCATTGTGCGCTGGAAATGAAGCGAGGAACCTCA